CTCCAGAGCGGGCGGGGTCCTGTGCCCCGGGGCGGCGGGGGGGCCTTAGTCCTGAGGATCTTCACGGGGGAGCTGCTTTATTTGGATTCTGTCTTGGCGTTCTTGAGTATTAACACCCCTTACAGCAAACTCAAATCCCCGTTTTAAGCGTTACCGTGTTAATTCACTGGCCAACTCGCGTGCCAGCGAAGAGCCTGTGATGAGCGAACCCTCCTGCCCCACGTACTAAGCCATGGTTCCTTGCGGTGGTTCCTCCTGCAGAGCACAACGTTATCGCTTCTGTTTCACCTCAGATAATGCCGTACCGCGCTCCTAGCACCCTTCCTTGCATCTTCCTCTCACAATCTAGTTCTTGACTGTTGAGTAGAATCAGTCTTCTGAAGCGACCGCAGTGTCCAGCTAGGTTTCCTGACTTCTCGGAAACCAACAAATGCATGTCTTTCGGAAAACAGGCTGCACTTGTTTATCCGACTTTTAAAAACTGATTTACCAAGTGTTTAATAATTCTGTTGACTGGTTGAAAAGAAGAGTTCATTGACTTACACAGTGATGTAATGTCAAAATCATCCGTTGTTCGCTTTCTGCTATAAGCTAGTTCTTGGTGTGCTGTGCTGATCGCTACTTTTGTTCATTTGATCAATAAGCATTGATCAGACTGGCTATACCTGGCTGCCTTCGTGTCATCTTGAAACAACATCAGATGTCTGCCCTGAGTGCTCTGTTTATTGCACTGCTTTATTACTGAGATTTTCTTGGACTTTGAAAATCTATATATCTCAGATCTGTCTTGATATCTTTACCAGAGCTGTTTGGACTGCTCAGGTATGAGTGCTCTTATAGAAATAAATTGATTCGAGTTGCGTTTTGGTATTTCTAGGTGTAGTGCTTGTATTACCTATGTATCTTGCTAGGGCATAGGTCCTGAACAGACGGGTACAGTATGCTTGCTTTCAGTGCATCCAGATCCTACTTGTTCTTTAAGGTTCTTTAATGCTTATTGGGGTCTGGCAAATCTTACTGGGATGTAAAACCGCTGCTGCCTGCGGCTGACTTCCTTCCACCCCCTTATGGGAGACCGGTGTAGACGCAAGCGAAAGGAAGGGGCCATGGCTTCAGCTGCCCTGCGAGACCTTGACTGTCGTGACAGAGGAGAACTTGAGGTCTGCGCTGACTCTACAGTGGAGGCAGCCCCGCTGGCAGGGAGCAGGAGATAACCGGCCTCAGCAAACGTGTTGAGGGTGTCTGTCGCATCCCTCATGTTCATGCTGGTAGTTGTTGATGCAGTTCATGTTTGGTTCCACGTTGTTCCCTTTTGATCATTGTGTCTGAAGTATCTCACGTGCGACCTGGGAGAGTTCTGGGGGTTGTAGCTCAGCTTGGTGCTTCTGTTCAGTTCTTCATAACCTGATGTCTGGATCTAAAACCCATTGATGTTTCCTAATTCTCAGTTTTGAGAGGTGCTCTAATCAAATACAGATGTCTCTGCAGAAGAGATCCTCGATGATGATCTTAGAGCATTGGATGTAGATGTTAAGAGACATTTTTATTCAACATAAGCATATGCTAAGAAGTTTTTGATGGTATTCTGCTCCACAAAGTGAAAATATTAGTGTCTTGAGGCTGGTTTTTATTAGAGGTTTTTTCTTCAGAAAATAGGTTTCTGTTTCAAAAACATTGTATAGATAAAGACTTCCTGATCACTTCCTTGACGTTCCCCCCACCACGTGCTACATGGGCAGTCTTACTGTGAATCTTGTCTTCAGAGATGTTGTCTTTAAGTGTCTTGATTCAGTAAAGGCTCTTCAAGCAGTTTATGGCGGATACCTTTTCTTAGGCATTGGTCTGTGGATTCTTGTGCCTCTCCAGATTTCAAGTGACATTAAGCACTAACTCAAGGATTCACTGGAGTTCAAAAACCGCTCCAGACAGAACTTTGAACTCTGATTTCTTTTGAGCTGTTGTCCAGATGTTTCCAAATAAAATGCCTTCCCTATTCTGCCTGCCTTAGCATGCGTGTGAGTGAGAGGACAGGGGATGTAAATCTGAAAACGTGTCTCTCTTGTCATGTTCTCTGTATATGCCCATAGGTGGTGATAGGTCTCCGCAGAAGCGGAGCGAGTGCCTGCAGCTCTTTGTTTGGGTCATCGCTCGAAAGACAAACATAAGGCTGCACGGGAATGTGCTATCCTGCTCTATTTCAGGGCTTTCACAGAGAGTTCGTGTGGCTTGGCTTGAAGTTTGCAAAGACTCTGTTACCTTTACGGTATACAACAATGGTGTTTTGCCAGTGAATTTTCTTAAAAAGATAGAGATGAGTTTTGGCAGGTCCTTGCAGAGCCTGTAAGGTTCAGATGCTGCGTGACACGCCATGAAGCAGGGATCTTAATATGACGCCCAGCTCTGCTACAAAGCTGTTCTATTCAAGCTCAAAGAAGTGACCGCGTGTCAGCCTTGCAGTTGGGTAAGATGGGCCCAAAGCCCAACCAGCGGCACTTGGAAGTTGCAGTTGGAAAACCTGGGTGGTCAATCTGAGCCTGTCTTGGACTGGGGCATTATGTAGTGGGAGGAGATCACCAGTATACAGGGGCCCTGGATTCATTTCTTGGCATCTTCGTTTCAGGAGGACTTGGGTTCTGTCTTGTCTGCCTGTACAAACAGACATTAGCTGAGGCAGAGGTGGGGTGCCGGGCAGCGTGTGGGGTGAGTTGTTGCCCACCTGCTTTTTTTTTTTTCTGTCTTGGGTGATTTACATGAGCAGAATACCTTCCATCAGAACATCCTCAAGCCTCACTTCTACAATCTTGCCTGGATCTAATCCTTGGGTTTTTTTGGTTAAAGCTTCTCTACAGG